GAGTGGACGGAACGCTCGTTTCAATCTCAACTACGGTTATACTTTCCTACCCATATGCCTGAGCGTCAGATCTAATTTGTTTCCTGGCTCTTATGAACGGCCTGCCCTGCCGGCATCGAAGGGTCCAGGGGAGGCAGGCGGTCCGCCCTTTCACTACTAACCGTTGTCCCCGACTCACCTCCCGCTTCGCTTACCATTTGTTTTTTTAGGAGTTGTAGGTAGACGTTGAATGTATAGCTGCTGCACTTCGTCTTCAAGTACAGAAGCAAGAACGTCAGTATCGTCTTCCTCCTCCTGCTCCTCTAGAAGAGAAAAGTTGGTGGCTCGCCGTCACGTGGCACTTGTGCTGCACTCACGTCCCTGCGACGCTGGAGCATGGAAGATTGCGTGGATGTCTGAACTTGCTCCCCCTCATCCACGACATCATCGGCCTTGGAGAAGGGAAGGAAGCGGACGTGGATGGAGGACACAACAGTGTTTGTGTCTGCAAAGTAGACGAGGTGGCTGTTGCTGCTGCTGTTGTGGCCGACGTAGATGCCTCGACGACCCTTGGGCTGCAGGCGACCGCGCTGTGTGCTGATGTGGACGACGGCCGGCTGCCCGAAGACGTGCAGCTGCGGCAGGTGCTTGGGCAGCGAGCCCGTGACAATTTGCAGCGGTGTCTTGCCGTGGAGGGAAGGGCGAGGCATGTTGTTGAGGATATGGAGGGCGTGGTTGCAGGCGAGGCTCCAGTACGATGCGTCAAGGCCTGCACCCGTGATCATGGCTCGCACCATGTCGGAGAGGGTGCGCACCTGTCGCTCGACGATGCCGTTCTGCGCCTGGGTGTACGGCGGGGACTGCTGGTGCTGCTTCAGGTGCTTCTTGACGATGGCCTGGAAGTCAGCTCCGAGGAAGATGGCATCGGAATCCGTCTGGAGTGCTGTTGTTGTGGGCGAGATGGGGAGCTTGGTCTCGCGCAGGAAAGACTGGAACGCGGCAACTGCGTCCTTCTTGGCGTTGAGATGGACTGCATGCAGGAGCTTGCTTCCCTCATCGACGATGACGAGGCTGTAGCGCTTGCCCGTGGGTGAGTCCGCGGTCCAGTCGACGATGTCGGCGTGGATGCGCTCGCCGGGCACCTGTGTGCGTTCCGCGTGCTTGCTGACGCTGTGACGAGTGCTCTTGGTCACTGCGCACGTTGTACACTGCTTGCTGCTGATGGCGTTGCAATCATCGATGCCCATCAGCTTGCAGTACTGCTGCACGTCGTTGTCGTTGCGGTGGCCAAGTACCTCATGCATCGATGGTGTCTGCACCTTGCTCTGGGCTGCAGGAGCTGCTGCGGGTTGCTGTGGTTGCTTGCAGGCATCGGCGGTGAGTCCGTGTGCCGTGGATGGACCAACAGCAACAATGGGCCAGCACCGGAGGCTGTTGCGCTCCTTCAGCTTGACCTCGGCTCCGTGGCTGAAGCGCACGTAGTGCCCATCAGCGCCATCACGCTGCGAGTGGCCCGTTGGCCTGCCGCTGCTGTCCCTTGTCAGACGACCGAGGGCGATGAGGTTGGCGTGGCCCTCGGGCACGTAGAGGCACTCCTGTAGCACAATCTGCATCCTGGCTCCGCTCGTCGTGCGTGCATGCAACAGCACAGAGCCAACACCGCGCACGGGCACACGTGTGCCGCCAAACGCAGTGATGTGGCGTGGATGGTGCTGTTGCAGGTGCGGTGACAGCTCCACGAAGGCGTCCTTGACGAAGGTGAGGTGGTGTGAAGCACCCGTGTCTGCAAGCCACGTGAGTGGGGTCATGCAGCTGCGTGGGTGTAGTAGCTGTGGCAGCGACGAAGGTTGCTGCGTCTTGACCATGTTGATGCTGTGCCTGTGCAGTGAAGCCTG